TTAAATTATTTATACTTTGGTTTTCTCATATAATAGAAACCAGGTGATATTTAATTGTGTGTCTGATTTATTTCACTTAACATTATAGTCTCAAGGTACGTCCTACAAATGACTCAAAACAAAAAGATCACCTTTTCTTAAGGAGAAAGAGGGTCAGATATCTATGGTTTAATTGAAGGGTTTGCCCAACTCTATCCTCAGAAACCAGATTTCCCAGTGAACCTGGCTGACCAGCCTCTAGCTTCTTGACACAGAAAAAAATCCTAGAAAGCACTATACTAAGGCTCTTGAAAGAGAAAATGTGGCTTTGGGTAATGGTTAGAGCACCTTCTTGAAATGACAGAATAATGAATAGATTTTGAAAGCCTAAGAAAGGGAAAGTCCAAAAGGACTGGCAAGAGGGGTTATTTACAGATATGATCAAAAACTGTCTCACTGCCTTGGACAGAACATATGGCAAGGTAATGAACAGTTGAGATTCATACATTGAATTCATAAGCACTAATCAACAAAGTAGTGAGAAATAAAACATGGCATGGAGTGAAAGATCTCCAGGCACGGCTTGCCTTTTAGTGAAAAAGACAGTGAATTCACCATCTTCCTCATCTTACTGAGAACACAGACCCTGGAGGAGGAAAATAAATAATGATGCTGATGCTCTCATCCTCCTGGAAAATTTCAAATTCCCTAGCTCCTCTTTACACAGAAAGAAATCAGATTAATAACTAATCTGAGCATAGCCTGTCTTCCATGGCACCCAGGGAAATCTCCACCCAATAAAAAAGGAAAAGAGTGAAGTGGGTTGAAGTGGGATGAGGACTTGGATCACATAAGGAAAAAGTGTTCCTATTGACAGGCCACTGAGTAAGAAATCACCCCCACACACAAGCAGACCCACTACCCACATCCATAGGAGCATAGAAATAACAAGCCACCAGCCACCCTGCTGCTCCTACCACCACCCTGCTTATTATCCATGGTACCCTAAAAATTTTCACCCTCTCAACCAGTGCCTCCTCCCCTATCTAAACTTCCCCATATCAACCTGGCACACCCTCCTCTCTGTGCCAATGGCCTTTTCACCCTTGCCCTGTCTGCACCCAAACAGCAATAAACTCATTGCAGGTTGCTTGAACTTTGCCTGCCTCAGTGATCTCAATCATGCCTCAATCTGACCTTACACCTACTACAAAGTATGTGAGCTTGACAAAGAAAAATATCTAAGGTAGATGACTGTATTTATCAGAACCCAAGATACTCCTGAGAAGATGGTCAGAACTGGAGGACTCCTGTCCGGGGCAGTAAGTGCAGGAAGAGGGACATGTGAAAGAGAGGGACACATTTTAGCATGATCGTCCTCATCCTAGAATTACATGGAGTTTAAAAGATTAAGTGAAGAGGTTTGATGAAACAAGTGTCTCCAAAAGGGTGAGAAGGGTAAAGAAATGAACAGGGAAGGAAACACCAGGACCCAACAACAGTTGTTTATCCAAAGCCCCAAAGGGGCAAAGGGAGCATTTCAATGTGAGTTCCTCTAGAGAGTGAGGCAACGATTCCAGGGTAAGGGTTTATAAATCAGGTGAAAAAAGCATCAACAGGGAAGTGAGGAAGAGAATGAGGGAGGAATGGCTATGGATAGAGCGTCAAGCCAAACTGGACATAGCAGTACACTCCTATAATCCCAGCTACTGGAAGGCTGAGGCAAGAAGATTGCAGGTTTGAGCCCAACCTGGGCAACTTAGTGAAACTGACTCAAAACTAAGATCTCTAAAAAAGGTTGGTGATGTAGCTCAGTGGTACAGTATCACTGAGTTTGATCTCCAGTACTGAAAAAAAAAAAAAAAAGCATCAAGCCAGTTTTCACTCTAGGCAATTGGAACATAACACTATGGATACACTCTGCTAGCCAGTGAAAAACACAGCCCATGGCATTATACATCAGAGCCAGGTGACCCATGGTGGCCCCAAGCAGGGCTCAAGGCTCAGGTGGGTGAAAGAAGACATTCCATGGAACAATGACCTAGCCTGGAGAGTGAGACTCAAATAAGATGAAAAGCATATCCATGGAGTAGGGACATCTAGAGTCAGTCAGAGCCTGCCTGGGCAGACAGAGTAACAGACTGGAAGCCTGGAATGATGAGTCAGAACCCAGCAGAAAAAGGAGGGTACCACGTGGAGTGAACACCACAGGAGGGGAGGGAGAAGATAGGAGACATGTTTCATACCAGAGGATTGATTATATAAGTAAATATATTAAAGATACAAAAGTCAGGCTTCTCACTGCCAGAAGGATAGATAAGAGAAAGAGATAAATCTACAATAAACTCTGTAGCACTGGATTGGCATTAATGGCATGGGTGTGAACTTGTGAATTCCTAGATAGGTATAAAGATATGTGTATGTGTGCATATGTATCTGTCAACACACACACACACATTTACTTGTATATTTGTTTAAACCTTTTTATGTATCTGTGTGTGTAGATACATATCCCCAGCTCTAGCCACTGACCATTCTTAGGAACACAAAAACCTCTATAGCAGTAAGCATAACTAATGCCTGCATCTTGGCTTCTAAAACCATTTTTCACTCCAGGGAGTAAAAGCTGGTGGAGAAGCATCTTATTTCAGCACTAGGACAGGGAATACTGAAGCTAAGGCTGAACTATCTCATTCTGCAAGGAAGTCCTGGGGGAATGGTAGGGATGTGGCAGAAGGACACAAGATCCAGTTTGACTGGATCCTCCTACTGGATGAGGATGGGACAATTTCAGCATCAGTACAGAATAAATTACCCAATGAATAAAACAGCAAAGCATGACTCTATGCAGATATAAATAAACAAATGAGCGAGTTGAAATGTTGATGAGGAACAGAAGATTTGCAATGCTTCAATTTATTTTCTCACAAAATATTTATTAACTATAAAGGGGGAAAGAGTTTCTCCACAGTGGAGAAACTTGATAGATGCCACCTAAGTCCAGCGATTAAAATGAAAATTAATAAACAATTGTATTTCTGTGCTTTTTCTGGCCAAGACTAATAACCCAATTTTAATGAAAAAGCATCAGACTGACTCTGCAAAACAACTGCTTCTATTCTTCAAAAGAGCCAAGGCCATGAATTCTAGATTGAGGAATTCTCCAGACTTAAGGACACTAGGACCAGAGACTGAAGGACCAGAGACATGGCAGTTAAGCAGAGGGTCTGAGCAGGGTCTTTGGCCACAAAATACATTGTAGAGACGAGGAGAAAACTTGAAGTCAGTCCGAAGATTGGATGGTAGCAACATCTCAATATTAATATTCTCATTAGGAAGACAATGAGCAAATCTTGAGTGCAGACTAGTGATTAGGAGGTAGTGATATATCAATGTTAATTTCAATGTGTCAATTATTGAGGAGAGTGTTCTCTTATAGAAAAAATATATCTCTGGGCTGATAAATGCTAGTCTTTTTCTGTGTTTTTGCTAAGTTTGTGATTGTTTCAGTAAATTAAAAAAATGAATATAAGATGGAAGAAGCAACTTTCCCATGCAATGTACAAGATCATTCACGAGCAAAGTCAAATTTGTAAACGTTAGCTAAAGCGATCATTCCCCTGCCCCAAGAAAACACTAAGGTATTTTAAATTGCTGAATATCAAATGTTTATTTTTTTTAAATTCCTACTACTGCTAAAATCCATTTAATAAATGGCTTTTCTTAAAACCAGTTTTTATTTCACAGAAATTTTGTTCTTAATAATTCACATTGAAATATTCACTGTTGAAGATGAGGATGCCTCAAGATACAGTTTGGGGCAATCAGGCATGCCTATCCTCACCATCATAAAGAAAGGTGGAACAGACTCAGGGAACACCTCTGAAAAGCCACCCAGATTGCCCAGGTTCACTGAAAACAGAGAATATCGTCATACTTGATTCAAATTATAAACTCAATACTATATTGTACACATCCAGCATTACATATGCTTTACATAAGTATATATAATTATACATCCAGTCTCACTCTTAAAGTAAACTAAGCAGACAACTACAAATTTAAAATGACTAAAATAAACTCATTTCACATAGAGTTACAATTTTTACTTCATGTACATTGGCTGTTTCAGAAGCTTTGGGCGTGCAAAGTGGAAAAAATATTCCAGCTAAGAATAATAACATGTTACATATATTTAAGACTTCCTGGACAAAATATATCCACATATACATATATGTGTGTGTGTGCGTGTGTGTGTGTGTGT